CGCGCGGAGTCCAAGCCCCGCATCGCACGCGGGGCCCCTGCGTGGCTCCTCTGCAGCCTCCCTTGGAGCTGCACCCCCGGACTGTCCGCCGGTCAGCTTCCCAACCGCAAGGTCTAGGGGGGAGGAGCTTTGGGGAACCGCAGAGCAGTCGCTAAGCCTGGCATCATTCGCACCCCCAGCAAGGGGGTCAGAGCCCACCCCTGGGGCTTAGCAGGCCGAGAGCATGAAAAGGACTGGAAGAGCAAACCAGGAGGGGGGCAAGCTTGGCCAGGGAGAAAGCTTGGAAGTTCCCTGATGTGAGAACTCGTTCCAAAACGGTAGCCACGAGAAATTAACCTTGCTCGTTTTGCCAAAGCAGAAATGTCTCCAAACCAACCAGTTGTGGGTATCAGTTAATTACAACGTGAGAAAGAACCTTTGAATCACGCTGTTCGGAAATGCGGTTTACCCTCCTTCCTCAGTGCGCTTGGGTGACCCTGTCCATCCATTGGTACCTGACATTTTCCTTCAGTGGTCACATCAAGGGCCTGTGTAGCTTACAGGTGGATGGCTCTTAGATATTTTACCCAGCAGTGAAACAAGCAGGGGTGGGCTGAAGTGAAGCAATCTGAGTAGAAAACCCTTGCTGTGAGTCCAGCTACCTGCAAACAAACAAACATACTCATATACCTTTTTGAACAAAGATATTGCTGCAGCCTATGAAATAGAGAATCAGATGCCAGGTCCTGATCTCAACAGATAGAAATATTTCCTGTATTATTAACTACATGCGTCTACTCCATATAGAGACAACTATATGGTATAAATTGGTATTTTCAATCACAGAAATGAAATCTTCATTGAATTTCTTGAAGTCATTTTTAATATGAATCTTGAAAAAAGGAAAGAGACATTCTCAATACAGCTTATTCAGTGCACATTTAATGAGTTTATTTTATATGCTAAGTATTAATCTATATCAATTCCTGCTCATAAGGAACTCATAATATTGAAGGGAAGACAGACGTGTAAAGAAAAAGGTACCACGGGACACATGATACAGACTCACTTATGAACAAAGGGACAAGCAGAAAACATGAGCAGGAATCGGGTGGAGAAAATCTTTGTATGTCAGGTTATGAAATCTGGATAGGAAGACTTTGAGCAGGGAAGTAAAATCTTCCTTTCCACTTAAGTGGGATTAATATGACAGGAACATAGAGTTTGTTTGAAATAGGCAAGAGCTATAGATGGGAACACCAGTCTAGAGATTAGAAAAGTATTCCGTGAAATCCTGGATGCGTTACAAAATCAATAAGCAATGACAAAAATTTGAGAAATAAAATTATGCTCAAATCTTATTAATAATCTCAATAATCACTATGTATGTTCAATCTCATCCATAATCTGGGAAGATCACAGAAGAAATTCAGTTGTGATAACAACTATTACAAGATCCTTAAGAGCAAGGTCCTTGGAACCTGACCACCTGGTTCAAGTACCAGCATTGCTGCTCACAAGACATGAAACATTGAAAATACCACTTCACATCTCCAGGAGTCAGTATCTTCATCTGAAAAATGAGAATAATAATAAGAGTAGATATTTTTGTAAGGTTGTTGTGAGGATTGAGTCAATATATTTTCTAGTTAAAACTGTTTCATAACAAATGATTAGTCCAAATCTTAGTGGCACAAAACCACCATTTTATTGTGCTCGTGATTTTCGAGTCAGGAGTTTGGCATGTCTCAGCAGGGTAGTTCTCCCTCAGAGCCTCATGCAGTTTCAGTTAGCTGTGGGTTGGGACCATAGTTACCTGAAGACCTGAATGGTCTGCACATCCCAGATGGGTCACTCCCATGGCTGACAGGAGATGCTGCCTGACAGCTGGAGCGAGATACATGGCCTGTCCTGAGAGTCAGTCTCGGGGTGGTCAGACTTTTCACAGCACACTTCACCCAGAGACAGCGTCCTACGGAACGAGGTAGAAGCTGCATAGCCTTCTCTCATCTAGTCTCAAAAGCTATGCAGACAATTTCTGCTTCAGTCTATAGGTTATAAGTCATTAGGTTTCCTCCGGGGTCAAGAGGAAGCAACGGAGACCTTACCTCTCAATCAGAGGAGTGTCAAAGAATTTGCAGACACATTTTAAAATATCCACAATATAAGTAAAGCACTTGGAAGAGTGCCTGTTCTATCCTATCGTCAGTACTGTTCTTTTGACATGATGACCCAGCTTTGTAGCCTTTCAGACGAACTCTTCTGTAGCTCAGCCTTCATCATTTAGTCTCGATGTTGTAACCCAAGATGCTCCTTCATAGAGTGACACCAAGAAAGATGGACTTACAAGAGTTCTGGTCATTCTCGGGGTGATGTTGTATAAATCTTAGTTATGTGGAGAAGATGGCTAGAGCGTTTACATTCAGTTTTTTACTTTCCACTTGGCATCTCGTTAGGACTTGTTAGTCAACACAGCCCTGAGGCACAGGGTGACGGGACACAGAGTCCCTCCCAGATGCTGGCGGAGGATGCGGCTGGATGCCAGCTCCTGACATCACTGTAGGATTCATTTATTTGCGATCGTAATACATGAATAGTCAGTCCCTGAATAGGTCAAATCTTTGTTTTGACTTTCATTTCAGTGGCTTCCCTAGAGAAATTCATACCAGCTTTTTGAAAGCTAGCAACTGGCTGACAGTTGTTGCAGGAGTACAAAACCCTTTTCTTCCAGACAGTTAAGAAGAAGAAATACGTGCTTCAGGTAGACTCCAATATCTTAAAGCCTATTTTTGTTTTTTCTTGCTTTATAACGAATCATGTGTTTTCTGTTTAATGAGTATGAAAGCTTCACGATGCTGGGAGCCATGTTTGCTGAGTCACCGAGTATTGATTTCTTTAACATTGGTGTGGCTGGAAATATTTTTAACCCTCAGCCTTTATTATTATGCACACTGTTAAATTATGATGTTGAAGATGCGTACGTTCCTACTTTATATTACACTGTAATAAAGCAAGCTTACTTTATTTTATTAAGGTAAAAATGCTGAATACCCCCTATCATTCAGTTTAGTTTCTCCCTTAAGGGCAGAAAAAAATATTTTATAAAAATCTTCATATCACCACTTGTTAAAAGAATGGTGAGATTTATGTTTTCCTAGAGTCTAAACCATTTCTGCACAGGGGCCAACTTAGAAAAAATAAATCTGTTTATTTTTTTTAAATGTTTTTAAAAAAAGGTAGAAATGCAATATCTGCACTGAAGTATTCTAATGACATTTTCTTATTCATGAAGAGTTGTGTGTAATGGCTGAAATTTCAGAAGGTCCTTCATTAGCATGCCCTGCAATACGTGACAATGAGCGCTGGTGTGAGAAGACAGTGAGGCGCTGGGCTCCTTAGGAAACAGCCAGGGGCGAACAGTCTGGCTGCAACTTCACTCCTCATTCCTTCTGTTCTCTAGCGCGTGTGTCCTCTCCCAGGGGAGCAGCTTCTGTCCACGACTCAGTCATGGAAGAGCAGCACAAACCTCAGACCCTGGCCTGACCCCAGCAGAGATTGATTTCTCTTTTCCACATTGGCTACAATTACTTTTTTGCATCCAAACTTTATCAAGGGATCTGCTTCCAGAGAACCCACCAGTGTGATGTGGGCAAGCACTTGCCCACCTGATCTTCAGGTGCATTTCCAACCTGAATTAAAATCCCATCAAACTCTGACAGGTCACAGTTTTCCCTTTCAAAATGGCAAGCAATAACTATTGATAGAACACTCTTTATCTTCAGCATAACCACTCATATAGATGGAGCTGAGATCATGCAAGCTTTCCCCAGTCCCTGTGGGTAATGTCCATTTCACACCGCACTTCTGACTTAGAGACATATCAAGACTCGTATTAAGTAAGCTGTCTGAAGTTACATAACCAGTAAGCAGTAAGCAGTAAAGCCAGGATTAGAAAGTTCATAATCCATATGTTCTCTGACAACTTCTTTTCAGGATCAGGTTGAATGTTTTATTTTAACAAAAATTAAACAGTAAATTTTAATATGTTCTCTTAATACAAATAGCTAATGCCCTTCTTGGGATGCAGCATAGTTTAGTGGGAAAACTATTGGCTTTCCAGTCGCAGAGATTCACTGTTCAATTAGCAATATGATTCCCTATTTTCTTAGCATGAAATGGACATGATATTAATCTGATAGAGTTATTGTAAAGATCAAAGGAAGCAATGCATTAAAGCATGTAAGACATTTGAAAATAACTTTCAATAAACTTTGATTCCACATAAACAATGAGAACCACAATTTGCCCTTATGTGTCTGTATACGAAAATACTAAGCAGTGACTGTGCAATTTAATTCTGCTTAAGCTGGTTTTCATCAGTTTATAAGTACTAATTTATATCAGATATCATTAGTTTCTTGTCTTTTTCAAGGGAGTTAAGCTAAATGAATGACTTAGCACACACATAGCAATCATTCTTTGAGCCCTTGCTCTAAAATTTATATACTTCTTCCATTACAGACAAGCTCCCTTTATATTTAGAGATATTACCCAAAATATCTGCCTAAGAAAGATATTTATCTGCTGAAGAAAATATGTTAGCTGGCAAGAAAAATATTCAATTCTTTAAAGGAATAATTTGGAAATTTCCTTTTTGATCGTGTTTGGATTGCAGCCTGGCTAGTTAGAAAAATACCACCAATGGAGGAGTGGTTGCTATGGGTTCCTCTAGTAGGTGTCATGGCTGGGGTACCAGAAATAGCTGAGCTAGCCATTGCTTCAAACACAGGAGCACAGATTTGCTCAAGTATCTTGTATAGAGAATCCTGTACCCTGCGATTGAAACACCTTTTAAACAAGGGTGTTTCATCTTGTTCCGTGATTTGTGCTGTGCCACATCTGGTAATTTTAATCTTCATTTTTCTAGCATATTTTTTAAACAAGCCAAAGAGACGTCTTTCAATGTTTACTTCTTTCACTGATATCACAGCTAAGATCTTCCTCTTAAATGTACGGAATTGACTCTATGAAACCTGGATGTCCCTCTAGAGATGATTGGTGAGCAACTTGCTATAAAAAAGGAATGACATTGGATGTGGGCTGAGGTTCAGGAAGAAGTATTCTACTTACTCTCCTATAGTTAAGCCACATTCTAAAAAGAGTGGAAGCTACTCATTTATGCACTAATATTGAACATGATTGGTTTTTGTTATTGGTGAAACATTTTCTTGCAAAGCATAGTTAAACGCCCCACCTCCTCTTGAATTTTTCTTGTTTTTGTGAATGTGCTTCTCTAATCAAGCACCATAGTGCTTGCATCAGAATGATTCCTCTGATACCAGGGATGAAAGCACAGGCAACGTAACAAGGGACAACTACAAGCCCACCGTGAGAGCCAGCCTGCAAGCTTAGGCCCCCACCTCTTCATTCTGGAGTCATCAACCTAGTTTTAGAAGGGGCGCGTCATAAAATGTAAAATATTAAGAGTGTGCTCACGTGAATGTGTGTGCAAAAACAGGCATCAGATCAAAAGAGAATATAATTCAAAGGCGAGTATGTATAAATGATTGCAAGATTGTCTAATGCACTGAAGTCTATCTAGAGTAGAAATCACAATAAATTATGTATCCAAAAGTAATGTACTGTGGTTTTCCAGACTGGGCCTGAAGGCAGAGGGTTTTAACTTCGTCTTCTCATCATCCGCTACTCTTATAATGTGTAAATGAGAAAATTCAATAATTTTTATTTGAGAACCACAAATCACTCTGCAAATCTAATTGACTAAAGTACAAGGGCATAAGCAAGGATCATTATTGTCGTTTTTGTGGCTGGAAGAGTTGGTTAAAAGATTTCATCTAAAACCAACAAATGAATAAGTAATGAAACAGACATTAATCATTTTATTTTAACCCCTGACATTCTATTGCGCTGTTTTATATACTTACCAAAGCCTGTTTACTCTTTGGAAAAATGTATTCATTTCTGTTATACAAGGAAATGAATAGACTTATGTCCATTTAGCCGCCAGTGTCAGAGTTAGCAGCTGTGTGCCAGCGAGATAGCAAACGCAGGTGCTTGGGAACCAAGGGAAATAGAAAGTGGCTTTCAAAACTACCCAATGTGTGATCAGGTACAGAGAGATGCCTTTTCACCACTGACAACGCTGACACACATTATGTGCCCTGGATGCATGGCATTTCAAGTGGAAAGCATTTAATATCCAGAGTTCTCCAGGCTATGAGCGAGGAAATTCTTATCAGAGTGCCTTTTTGGAGTTTGAGAAGGTATTTTTTTTGCCAATAGCTCAATTATGTAATTTTCCCAGGACGTATATGAGTGAAATTAAGAAGTACCGCCCAAGAAGCCGGTTCTATCTTTAACGTCCCATTGTTCTGCGAAGTCACTGAATGATCTATTGTAAAACCCAGCAGCTTCCCATTTCTCACGCTGGGCAGAATCTCTGCAGATTTTAACCCTATGCAGCATGCACTCACATCCACTCCTGTGGCTTCTGCGACATTTTTTATTATTGCCAGTCTTCAAATGGCTGGTCCTTGGTTTTTATGATCACCTCCCTTTTTTTCCTGCTTGATTCTTAAATATAGGAATTACACTAAGTTTAATTTGGACTTTGTCACTCTTCCCCCTTGTGAGTCCAGCCTGTATGTGTCCATCCATTCTCCAGGACTGTTATTTATATGTTAGGAATTTTTCAAAGCCCTGTTTCAGATTATGGCCTGGGAAAATGAGGAAAGGACAACAAATGTCAAGTGTCACGGTAGCATGGTACAATTAATAACTGTGCTGGCCCTTGCTGACTTGATTTTAAGGATGTTATTCCTAGATGACTTGATGTTTCAAGTCAAGCCAAGATACCCGGTGTTTAATGAGCAAATCTCAAAA